GTCTGCCTCTGCAGCCTCCTGCCCGGCCGGGGCGCCGCAGGTAAGGTCGGGCCGGGCCGGGGCGGGAAGACGGCGCCTCTCCGGGGGCCGGGCCGGTGGCTGTGGGCTCCCGGCACCTGTGGGGGGGGCCCGCCTTTCACAGGGGAGGGAGGCTCAGCTCTGACCCCCGATTCGCGGGGCGGAGGCTTTAACCTCAAAGCCTGGTCTTCCCTCCTGGGAGCCGGCTGTGCCCCCGTCCCAGAAGCCGGGGGCTGGAGCAGTCTCGGCTGCAGCTGGTGCCAAGGGGTGACCGGGCTGTGGGTAGTGAATGATATCCCCTGGCCCTAGTGAAGGGTGCCGCACTGTTACCGACTGCACAGACTCATAGGGAAGTCGACCTCCAGAGGTCCCCGAGTCCATCCCCCCTGCCTGAGGCAGGATCGGCCCTGTCCAAACCATCCCATACAACCATGATCTAAACTCTACGTAAGACTGCCCTCACCCCTGACACAACATAGACCCAACACCTTCACCCGCCACAGGTAAAGCAGGGGAACCACGGCGGCCAGCATCCCGCTTCTGTGAAATGTTGTCAGTACGTGCACGAGATCCCGGGAGAGGGCTGTGCCCCCATTACAAAGGAAGGCAAAAACCTCCACAGTCTGCTCTAATCTGACCATGGGGTAAAATTCCTTCTTGACTCCAAATTTGGTGATCAGTGGGACCCCGAGCAGAGGGGCAAGACCAGGGCTCGGCGGCGTTTTTTGGGCAGTGCCAAAAATACCCGCAGCCCTGACTTGTAAAATGTTAGCGTGTCAGTGGTAGACAGCGGGGGAGCCAGGAGGGGCTCTATCCTTGTTGTGTCAGCACAGCCCTGGCCCTTTCCCTGAAGTCTGCCCCGAGGCGCACGTGCCAAGCAAAATGGCTTTGTGTGCTATGCTCTGGCACCCATGGAAGGGGTTGCCCACCTCGGGACATAACCCTCTAGCCAAAAACCTCTGGATTTGGTCCCAGAAGGAGCATTGGCACACCTCAGTCAAAGTCCCTAGCCTCAGCTGTAGCCAACACCCAGTACCTCTGGGGAAGACTTAAAAACACCCTGGCACATATAGCAGAAAGGGGAAGGGTGGTGGTGGGGGCAACCAGCAAAGCCCAGAAGCATGAGAAGTACCCATAGTAGAACATAGCTATCGCTATGCCTAGATCAGGGGTAGGCAAAATATGGCCCAGCCCACCAATCTGGCTCACCACCAGGAGCCTGAGGAGCAGGGGGTTGTGCCCTGTGTTGCTCTGCTCTGCTCTGCCTCAAATAATGCCCACCCCTGGTCTAGATCAGCGGTTCTCAACCTTTCTTGTACCAGGACCCATTTGTAAACATAGATGGTCAGTCCCGACCCAGTGTCCCTCACTGCTCCTACCTCCAGGCCCCAGTGTGTGGGGCATGGGGGGGCCCCAAGTAGCACCTTGCAGGCTGGAACTCTGCCAGGCCACAAGAGAAAAGCCACAGTTATATGTTTTTCTCCATAAAGGAGAACCCATTTTTAAAGTTTGCTCGTGACCCTTTCATATATTCTTGCGACCTACTTTTTGGTCACAACCCATGTTTTGAGAAACACTGGCCTAGATCATCCCCGACCAGTGCTGTCCAACATCTTTTTGAACACCTTTGATGATGGAGAGTGCACAACTTCCCTAGGCAGTCTGTTTCACTCCCTCGCTGTCCTAACCTCTGTGAACAGAGGGCTGGTACTGGAAATACAGTGAGGTTTTCAGGCTCTGTTCTGTGCCTTGTCAGTTAACATATGGACAAAAAGAAAAGGGGAAGAGGTTTTCTCTTTAATTTCTACCTCCTCCCCTTGGCAAGAAGCTGTTGGACATTTCTTCCCAAGGTCTTGTTTGACTGGTGGCAGGATGCCTGCTGCCTCATGAAAAATTCTTCAGAGCATCTCCATTATTAACAGCTTTGTTGCCCTAGCCTAAAAAAGTAACCGTCATCTGTAATTCTGTGTATCATTGGTATACTGAAGTCACCATGGAGTGGAGAGAGTAGCGGGAAGCCACAGGATAGGGCACTGGACTAAGACACGGGAGACTCAGGTCCAGGTTCCAACTCTGCCTCCAAACTGCTGGCTGACCTTGAGACAGCACTTCCCTCCCTGTGCCTCACTTATTAAGTAGAGATAATCAAGAAGAGGCATTTTGAGATCTGCAGCTGATAAGCACTAGGTATTATTACTGCCTATTGCAAATTATGATTGTATTTGACATGTTTTATCATTAACCTCAGTGCTTTGTTCACCAAGGTTTAGGAATATCCAGAGGTGCTGTTCACCTGTGGTTGCTATTGATTACATTGGTGTTTATTTTCATTACACTTATGTCTAGAGGCCTCGGCTGACATTAAGACCCCTGAGTGCTGGGAGCTGCACAGCTATGTAGTATGAGACAGTTTCTGCCTGAAGAGCTTAGCATTTAAATAGGCAGGACAAGAATAGGAAGGGAAACGGGCACAAAGAAAGAACCTGAATTGTCCAGGACCAAGTAGAAGATCAGTGGCAGCACTGGCAATATGACCTGGGGTCCAGATCAGGTACTCCCAAGGAACCAGTGGGTGCCCAGTCCCTTTCCAAATCTGGCATTGGCAGTTTGCCCGAAGTTACGTGGCAAGTCTGTGGTAGAGCTGGAAATATAGTTCAGCTTGCCTGACTCCCAGTCTTGGTGCTGAATCCATAGGCCGCTGTTGCAGCAAGAGTAATGATTTATGGTCCTTTCTGATTGTTAAAACTAATTTGCCACTCCCTGCTTTCCTGGGTGTGTTTGCATAGCAAGCTTCAGCCAGCGCTGAGGAGTGATTAACTACCTATCTATTGCCTGTAAAGCATGGTGTCCAGAAAAGAGAACAAACACAACAGTAGTTCATCTTTCTTTTGCTTCATCCTCTCCAGTGCAGTAGCTGTTGTACTATGAGATAAGTTATCAGATCTTTAGCTAAAGTACAAACAAGAAAGGCTTTTGCCAGATCACCTGTTGTTTCCATTTCCCCCTTGCCTCTCTATTTTTCTGAGCTATAACACAGTAGGGCTGGTTGTGTTGTGGTTGCCACCAACCTGACCTTAGACCAGGTGACCTGTTTTCAGCCTGGTGACTCAGCTAAGCTAGTCTCCAAGACTATTTTTGGAGGGTTATTTTAATCAATGCCTGGTCTGCTACTTTGCAGCTGGGTATGCCGATGAAAGTTCACCCCACTAGTCCAGCCTTGAGCACAGCAAGCCAAGCACAAGGCAGAATGGTAAAGACCATAAGGGGTATACCAGCTTCAGAGCAATGACACCCTTTTCTAGGAGGCCTTCTTCCTCTTTAACCAGCAGATAGTGTATTGCTGATAAAAGGGATAAGGTGGGGTGATACTGGATATGATAGCGGTGAATGAAGAGGCATGTAAGCATCTTTCACTGGGCCAGATAAATCTAAATTCTACCTCTGCTGGTCACTGAGGTCCCACCACCTTCATCCAGATGATGTCCAGTACCTCTCAGCATACTCACCTACTCTGCCCTGTGTCTCCCCAGTATGGCCAGGATTTTCAGTCCTGTGGTTCCCAGTTCTGCTTGTTTGTCTGCAGCAGGCATTTTTGTTGTTAGATACACCCCTGGATAATGTATATTGGCTTGTAGCAGTTCTTCAGCAGAGGCCTTGGGGCAGTTGCCACAGCATTTTGGATGATAAACCCAAGACCTCACCACAGACACTCACCACAGGGAGCTGAACAGAAATAAGGCATAACAGAAATCTGGATAGGGAGTTGAATAGGCAGATATTTGGCTACCCAAGAGAAATGGTTTATGATGGGCCTGTTACTAAGTGACCACAGGGCTCCCCTTGTTGTTTCAGCTGTATCCCCAAAAGGCAGCACCTCAGATGGCCCCTTGTGTAGCTTATGGTTCACAGCTTTCTGCTTCTTGGATGCAGGGATTTGACTTTGGGTAACTGAAAATGCCTTGCTCAAGCGCAGGGGTGACTGGTGCCTCCTGAGTATGGACACACTTTGTGGGCGGGCCAAAAGCCCCATATCCACTCCTATACTTCTGTGCTGCTGTACCCTCCCCCCCAACACCACTGGCCCACGTGGCAAAAAAACTGCCCCGACCTGAGCGGTGCCAAGTTGGGGGCCAATCTCAGGGGTCCCCTTGTGCACGCTTCCCCCCCCCCCCCCAAAAAAAAAACCCAAAACAAAACAGTCAGCTGTGCTCAAGTGTTTAGGGTTTCTCTCTGTGACAATAAGAATGAAGCTGAAAAGGGGATTGTGAGAACACAGTGGTTCATGTGAGCACTAATGCCCCCCTTACCTTTGCACAGGAACGGAAGAGGTGACCGTCGGGGAGGTTGGAGAGAGCATCCTCCTTGTGTGCCGGAACGTGTCTGAGCAAGCAAGGGAGGTGGACTGGTTTCACGGTGTCCCAGGCAGCATCCCCCCACTCATGTCCTCCAAGCTCGAGCTGCCCCAGGATGCCCGCCTCTCTTTGGTGGACAATACTTCACTACGCATCACAGAGCTGCGTTTGCAGGATGAGGGCAATTATACCTGCAAGGAGGTCCTGAACCAGACTGCACATGAGCACAGAGTCCAGCTCCTGGTAGCCAGTAAGTCCCTAACACATCTGTGCAGTAGCTGCTGGTTACATGACCTCATCTGTAGCCCACATCAGGTAGCCACATATGAAATGGTAACACCTTTCCCAGAAATGACTCCTTTAGAGAGTAGGAGATGCTAAGAGTGAAGAGCTATGGGCTTCTTGGATGATGCTGATTTTTGGACCTTGGGCTGCTCAAGCAATCTAAAAGTAAAACAACTCCTTATATGGCCCCCAGCCTCCTGAGCCATTTATTTTCCTTCCAAATCCCAAAGCATTACATGGTAGGCATTGTTACACAGCTACTGGGCTGTACCCCAGAGATGGCTACATGCTGGCAGTGTTGAGATTCCCATGTGTATAGATGGTAAAGCATGTTAGCATCCTTTGGAATGAAGGGACCCTTGTAAATATGTTAATTATTATTCATTTATCATACCTGAGTAGGAGTTTGTGCTTCTCCGCTCCCGGTCTCTCTGCCTGACTGGTTTTCCCTTTCAAGCTCTTTAGGTGCCTACAGAGCCTGCCTTAGAAATGTGATCTGGGTTCTGCCCCAGGCTGCTGGGGAACCAGGTTGTAGATGATAGCATGAAGAGTGCAAAGCCCTAGAACCCTTGTGGCACAGGCAAGGCCTGCCTCGAAGCCCCTCAGCACCCTCTGTTCTATGCCAGCGTGTCTCACTTCTCACTTCTAGGGATGAGTGGGGAGCACAGCTTCTATGCTGATTCAGCTCTTGGCTGCTGTGCTATTAATCTCATCCCATAGGACCTGGACTGAGACCTGCTCTCTTTTTATACCCCAGTGCACAACCTTGTCCATACTCCAGTGACTCAAAAAGGGGAGAGGTTCTTGCCAGCTCTGTGTCTGTGTGTGTGATGTTCTCTAATCCCCTTGTTCTTCTGTTCCCTGTTAGCCCTTTATTTAGCGCCTGCTGCTTGCTGGCTCTTGTATGGCTGCTCCCAGCCTTGCTTTCTGTTTGTGTTCAGGGTGTTTCTTTTCTTTGGCAGTCTGGCTGTGTGCATATTCTCTAATGGAGAGCTGCACCCATCTTGACCAGAGCAGTGCTTTCATTTAGGCAAAGATGTCCTTCATGGGGCAGGGAAACTACTATGTGGATTGTAAACAAAGAGCTGGTTTGTAGAGCCTTGAAATGCAAAGAGTAAAGCTTAGGCTCCAGGCAAGCGTGAACTGGTCACTTGAGCCTAAGGCTGGCTGGGTAATGGAGAGTCTGGAGTGTAATCCCAGCTCTGCCACTGATGGTACGTATGACCTCAGGTAAGTCCTTCAGCCTTCCTGTGCCCCAGTTTCCCTAGTGGTAAAATACAGATAATTCTATTTAGCCCCTATGAGTGCTGTTGTGAGGCTGAATTATTTAATTTAGCCATGTGCTTGAATATGCCATGTATTAGCAGAAAAAATAGCAAGATGCAGTAGTTAGGAGCTGAAGTTGGCCAGTCCAGGCTAGAAATAAGACACGTGTCTCTTCACGGTGATTGGACTGTTGGAACAATGGACGTTCAGACATGGAATCATTTTTAAAAGAGATGTCCTAGCTCCACCAGAAGTCATAGGCTGGATGCAGAAGTAGTGGGTCATGCTTCTTGGCCTGTGTTACACAGGAAGTCAGACTAGATGATATGAGCTGTCCCTTCATGCGTTGAAAGGTCCCAAGTAAAACAGAGAAAATCATGAGTTACTTGATATCTCAAAACCACATATCAGCTCCTACCATGGCCTGTTTGTGGTGGGGCTGAGGCACAGGACCTGAAGGGAAACGTGCTTAGGCATGTTCATGCACAGATGCACAGGATTTCCAAGAGTGCCTGTCCCTTTTGTCATATTCTGCTGTTCATTCCTTCAGCTATAAGTTGCTAATGTTTTTGGTGGAGTCAGTGCATTTATATGCAGGGAACAGTCATTCACATGGCTCGTTGTTACATTTGAGAGTAGTTCTCAAGTTGCTATTTGGATGTGCTTCTGAACATCAGTGGGGTCATGCTTCTGTAACCTGGAGATTTAGGATCAGGAATTGATGACTGCTGGTGGTAGAGCCTAAATTCTAGCTCAAAAATGCAGAGTTCTTCTGCTAAAGTAATCTCAACCTGGGTTATCACAGCCTTTTAAAAAGATGCAAGGTAATTTCTGATGACTCATTTTGGTAGGTTCCTTTTATTAACTCCAAACAGGTTTGAGGAATGGTTGGAATGGTTTCTTAAGGCGGGGACAGAGGCAAATACTAGAAAAACAGGGCTGGAAGGGACCTTGAAGTCAACTAGTCAGGCCCTTTGCTCAAGGCAAGGTCACTCGTGTCGAAAGCATCCAGCCATTTTCAGGTTTCTGCTTCTTTCCAAAGTCATCAGGGCTCAAATGAGATTGAAACTGAAGCCCTTGTGCATCCAAAGTAGAATCATTCCCCCAGACCAGTGAGCTAACGCTGCTGCAGTACAGCACTAGGAACGCTGCCTTGGTGAGGAGGCTTATGCTGGAGTTTGTGCAGTTCCTGGAATAGTTGATAAAGTCAAATGTCCGGAAGAGAAGTTTGGAACATGGAGCCTGTTCAAGGCAGGGTGGGGACTTGGCCTACTGCCATCCACTCTCCTCTGAACTCTTGCAAAGAGCGTGCGAGTGAAAGGACGGTAATATGCTGTTCCAGTTCACATTAACATGCAAATGAGCTCGTGCTGACCCTGTACAGGCTTCTGTTATCAATCAGGGCCATTAGAGCATGGGACTGGGAACCAGATTCTTTTTCTTGCCTCTGTGTGTCTGAGAAGGTGGCTTAATCTTCATGCTTCAATTTCCTCAAGTGTAAAATGAGAACAGTTTTATCACAGGAGTGTGATGGGGCTAATCATTTAATGTGTAGAAAGTGCTGTGAGCTTTCTCAGATGATGGGTACTAGAGAAGGGTAAAGCATTTTCTTTAGTGTCTGTTTATGTGAGGAAGAGAATCCTTCTCAAACCCTATTCACAGCCTAGGCTTCTACTCTGCTTCCTTGGCTGCAGAGGCTGCAGTCCTGACTTCAGTTCTCTCTCTAATTTATGCTGTGGACGAGCTCCAGGCTCTCTGCCCAAAGGGATCAGACACACTGTACTTAGAAGCTGATCTAAGCTTTGGGTGTTACTGCAACATGCCATTTGCTGCTTTGGTTTTCCCTGACTCAGAATGCTGTAATCTCTGAAGTCACCTGGACAGACATCCCAGCAACCAAATATCAGACCTGCTGTCTTCCCTTGTGCCATGTTCTGTACAGACCACTACACCTGGCTTTGCTGCACAGTCACCACGCTGCCAGCTGCTCTTTCAGTGGGATTCTTTCACAGGTTGGGATGGTGTGGGGGCAGCATCAGACACATAACACACTGCTGCTGCAGCTGATTAGAGCCTCAAGTCCTCCAGACCACTTATAGAAAGTGTGACTCTGCCATCCATTTAGGTGCCAGGACTGTACATTTGCAGGCATGGAATGTAAAGAAAAACAAATACCGAATAGAAACAAGGAGAGAATATGTTCCTCACCATGTTTGTAAGCCAAGTGGAATCACGTTAAATCACTGGGGGGCAAATTCTTGTGTTTCCTCACCACCCCCCATGCTTGTGAAAGTGGTTTCTGCTGGCCATGCTCTAACCCTGTTTAGTTGTTCTGGTATTTAAATAACGCACAAACATAATCCTGGCTCTGATCAAACAATTGGCCCTGGAAAGAGTCCAGACATGACTTTCCCTGTTGTGGAATTTGTTCTCATAGCTTTAATTCAATTTGTGTGCAGATTTTCACTGCAAGGCAAAGTTGGCACCTCTAGCCCTTCTGTGGGCTCAGCCCTTCAAAGTGGCTGTGGATCTTCTAGGAATGCCATCCCTAGTGACCTGGTGCTCCAAGTGGGTATAGAACAGTTTGCATGGTGGGAGCCAACATTCAGTCTCTCTTTTTTTGCTCAAGTGTTTGGTTTGCAGCCACCTTCTTGGGCACCTGCAGTTGGAAAGCACCAAAACTTGGACAGGAGTTGCTTAGGGATGATGGCTTCTGTGACTCCACATGCTTCGTGGCTGGCGACTTCACCCTGAGGCAGTGGAAAGCCATTGGAGTTAGCAAAGTGTGCAGAAGCAGCAGTGTCTGATGGGGACTCTTGCGGGAATCCCAGCTCACTAGCTGGGATTTAGTTTTATCCAGATTTAGTTTTATCTAGCCAAATATCAGGAGTGTGTAGTCCAGGCATAATAGGGCGTATCAGACCAATCTGAAGCTTTGATGTGGGCCCTGTATTTGGCTTTTCTCTCATGGACAAATCTTTTGTCTTCCTGTCCATTTTAGATGGCCCCAGCCATATGACTGTCACCATCTCCCCCTCTATGGCACTGCCCAATGGCACCAGGTATGTAGAAAAATATGCTACTGTGGTGTTCAACTGCACCAGCAACTCCCGTCCAAAGCCCACCATGGGCTGGACTTTCTATCCGCCCAGTTCTTCACCTGAAGTATTCACTGAAGACAACAGCTCCTCCAACTACTTCATCCTGAGCAACTTTTCGCCGAGCTTACAAGGGAATTACTCGTGCTCAGCAAGGAACCCTCTCAGCGGCAGGAGACAGACCCTGACCAAAGAACTCCTTGTCTATTGTGCGTAACAGATGTTGGCAGTGTTAGACTTGGTTGAAAAGACTGGGGGTGAGGGGAAGTATTGCTTTTCCCTGCCAATTTACAGGTCTTGGTGTTTGCCCAGGTAGTGATCAGGGAGGGTGAAGCACACTGGCTTTTACTTCCCCCGATCATTTTGCCACAAAAAATTGCCATCCTTACACCTAAAACCTCCTGAGTATTGAGACCGGGAGACATGGGGATGAGTAGTATTTGGACTGGGATCACTGAACCCAAATCTGCTACAGTGGCTTGTGGCAGATGCCAAAATAGATGTTACTTCCTTAATCCTGTGTGGATGGCTGGTCTTGGTAACTGGATCCCTAAGCCCTGACTGCACTTGAGCTAAGTCTTAGCCTGATTTGGGGCTGGGCCTCGTAGCAACTCCTTGGTGCATCTGAGCACCAAACTGGAAATCAGCTTGGGACACTTGTGCTAATTTCTGCAGCACTGAATTATATCAAATTATCTGAGCCAGGCTTTTGATGTTTCCCCACCCTTAGAGAAATTTGAGAAGTTGCTTTGGAGGAAGACCAAAAGTATATTTATACACAGGTAATTGATGTACAGTGCTTAAGAGTCCTGTTCTCACCTAGTGTAAATCCACTGAACTTAACAGTTGTATGCCAACATGCAGATGCTGAACTGATGCACACTGTGTCATGGAGGATACAGTTGTATTTTTTTTTCTTTTTTGCTATTGTGGTCACCCCCTTCTTACTTTCAGATAAAGCACAGGCTGGAGACAGCACTGGCCTGCATTGCCTCCAGAGTGGCTCCTTGTCCACCAGCCTCCAGAGAGAGCTTGGTCCCTCACATAAGGAGTAGGCTGAGGCTGCCTTTCCCCATTGGACCTCATCCTAGTTCTCTGCTGGATGCTGCTTTGTAAAGAATAGAAGTCCTCTCCATAGGGAAAATCTAGAATGGTAGGGAGCAAAGTGAAACAAATGAAAGGCAAAAAGAACCAACAGGATCTTGGGAAGAACCTTGGGTGAAAATCAGTATCTTCTTGGCTGAAGTCCTGAGATCCTGTGTTGTGAATTTAGGACACTGTGTGTCCTGGCAGAGTTGATGGCATTTTTAACCTTGTGTTCTTTTGGTAGATCCCCCACAGTCGGTCCCAAGGTGTTGGGCTCAAACCTTAGAGATGGGGTTGATACTGCAGCTGTTTTGCAGCTGGGCTGGAGGCTACCCACCCCCAGTCCTTCAGTGGAGGGAAGAGAAGAGAGACCTGGAGAATTCAAGTTGTGTTGTCAACACAACAGTCACTGCAGATACCCGTGTGGAAACAATCAACAGCTCTCACCTCTTCCATGGAAAGGAGTTCAAGTGTGTTGGGAACCACATCATAAAGGCACAGACAGCTGACCCGACCTGCACTGTACAAATCAGTAAGTCAGCCTGTCCCTCCGTGGTTAACCATTAATGAACCTGCCGGCAATACCAAAAGGCTGGCACATGTGATTGACCTGGTTTCTACAGGAACCAGGCACACACACCTGAGGGCAGAGTTTCCATTTGGAGAGTCTCATTCTCCACTGTCCTTCTGCTCCAGTGTCACTTATAATTGTGAGCATTGAATGTGAAATGTTAGCAAATTAGAACAGTGGAATTTGACTTGGGCATAGAACCTGCCGGCAATACCAAAAGGCTGGCACATGTGATTGACCTGGTTTCTACAGGAACCAGGCACACACACCTGAGGGCAGAGTTTCCATTTGGAGAGTCTCATTCTCCACTGTCCTTCTGCTCCAGTGTCACTTATAATTGTGAGCATTGAATGTGAAATGTTAGCAAATTAGAACAGTGGAATTTGACTTGGGCATAGATTCATGGATTCATAGATGTTAGAGTCGGAAGGGACCTCAATAGATCATCGAGTCCAACCCCCTGCATATGCAGGAAAGAGT